ATAAGACACACATTCCCCTTGTGCCAGCTGGGGCACACAGATCTGCATATTGGGCACTTGGTCTAAAGACCTGTGATCAGAAGCCAAACAGTGTCTCTGATTAACTCACTGGAAGCATTAGAGGCTGGTAATCTCCTTCCTGTCAGAGTTGTTCTTAATCAAGTTCCCTTGATTTATTATTATGTAAATATTGCTTATCACTGAAATTCGTGATGAAATGAAATGCAGATCAGTTCTCTCAGGTTGGCAGAGCTGGAGAAGAAAACCGGGTGGGGTGGGGTAGTAAGCAGAGAAGGAGCTGAAATCACTGGTTACTTGTACCTTGTGCTAGGGTTGGGGGAGTCAGGACGTCCATTGGCCGGTTCTGACCTCTTAGTCACCACAGATACGACGCCCAGCCTAATCCCTGGCTGCTGTGTTCAGGTGTGCTTTGCTGCCTCCTTCGCAGGAGCTGTGGCACCTCATCCCCCTTTGCTCAGCCTTCACTTGCCATCGGTCCCCTCCCACACATCCCTTTGATGAAAAAGCGCTGAAGCTGAGCCAGTGTTTGAATGATGTACTGCATCATGGCCCACACTAATGAGAAACATCCTAGTCCCATGTGATACTGAGCTCTACCTGTTTCTGCCATCCTTTCTGAATTACAGGCATGGAGGAAGGGAAAGTAAGGGGGAAAGTCGCTCGGTTTTTAAGTGTGCTTCTCTCTGCATAGAATTGGCCTCAGTTGAAATGGTGCAGTATCCATCCTCAAGGACACCTAAACAGGCTGGGGCAGGGCCCTTCCCAGGGCTCCTACCACACACGGAGTATGTGGTTCTCACTGTGCTTGCCTGTGTATATGCATGTCTCTACCTGATCCATTCTGCAAGGAACTTAGACTAAGGCTCTGCCCCACTTCAGTGGCACGTAGTCAGTGTTGGGGTAAACACTGGGGTGGATAGCAAAGCGGAACGGGATTTACAATTTTCAGTCCTCATAAAGTTGTAATATTTCATCTCTCAATTGTACTTTGTCTCCAGCATAATTGTGTGATTGGGTATACTTTACCACCTATAACTACAACACAGCTTTCATAATTAATGTCAAATTCAAATTCAAGTAATGCAGCCACTCAGTTTTGTTCCTCAAACTGGTCACCACCTATTTCAGAGAGAAAACTCCAAAAGTTCCAGAAGTAAAAAGGAATGGAGTTTGTGGAACTCATTTCTGCAGACCCTTGTGTCACCTCCCCATCTCTCTGCTGCCTAATCAAATGTTCAGGCACCCCTACTCACTCACATAGCATACTTGGTGATTACAGGGAGGCCTGGCAGGAGCAGGTGAACTAAGACGAGAGACACGTGAAGAAATAAGGCCCTGAAGTCAGTGTAAGCACAGAAAGAACCAAAGTGGGTTATTACAGAAACTTTGAAGTGTGTGGGGGTCAGGGAGACACTCATGGAATGATGAGCAGTGTGGAATGCAACTCTATGGGTTGAGATGACTGCTGACAAAAATTGTTCTGCAAAAGTGACATTGACCTCTAAATGTAAAGGCTAGAAAGTTCAGAAATGAGGAACGAGATAAGCATTACAGGGAGGAGGCACCTAGCATGAAGAACCCAGAAACACACAGCTAGAGAATGGGGTGGGGAAACAAGCCAGAGTGGGTGTCTCTGAAGGAGTCTGAGGTGAGACTTGCAGGGACCGCGCACTACTGGATGCTATGTTGCCTAGTTTGATGTCAGCTTAACACAAGCTAGAGATCTGAAAGGAGAGGACCTCAACTAGAAAGTCTCCGTAAGATCTGACTGTAGGGCTGAAGAGATAGAGATAGCTTAGCAGTTAAGAGCACTGGCTGCTCTTCCAGAGGACCCAAGTTTAATTCCCAGCACCCACATGGCAGCTTACAACTGTCTTTAACTCCAGTCTCAAGGGATCTGACACCTTCACACAGAAATACATGCAGGCAAAATACTAATACATGTTAAATAAAGAGGAAGGAAGGAAGGAAGGAAGGAAGGAAGGAAGGAAAGGATGGATATGACTGAAGGTCATTTTCTTCATTAGTGATTGATAGTGATTGTGGGTGGTGCCACTTCTGGGCTGGTACTCCTGGGTTTTTTTAAAAAAAAAAAAGCTGAGCAAACCATGGAGAGCAAGCCAGTAGCAGCATGGCCTCTGCATCAGGTCCCTGCCCTGTTTGAGTTCCTGTACTGACTTCCTCCAGTGATAGACTAAAATGTGGAAGTGTGAGCCAAATAAACCCTTTTCTCCCCAGCTTGTTTTTGGTCATGGTATTTCATTGTAGCAGTAATAACGCTAACTAGAATCTCTGTCCACATCTTTCTGAACATGTTTTTCCCTTTTGCTACTATTTCCTCTGTAAACACTGTGCCTACTCCTTGCGAAGTTGAAGCTGTTTCTTTGGTTGGTGTAACTGTTTCTTTGGTTAGGGTTTGAAACGTCCTAAAGATGAAGGCAATTTGAAGATGCTACCCTGCACAGTTGTGGCCTGGTTAAGTGTGTGGTTCCAGTTCTGTTTTGTTACTTGACCAGGTCAGTAGCTGTGATTCTCGTTCCCTTCTTTCTGTTGTAATAAGTCCATGTGCTTCATTGCCAGATGAGGGGGGACTGCATGCGAAACAACCAGTTTGTGGAGTGATGACTTTGTCTCTTTTTTCGTGAGCCTAGCCTCTCATTGCTAAACCATCTCTCCGTTCCAGTGAAGACTTTTCTTACCGTTTCATGTTGAACACTTTGCTGGCTTTCTGTTTTCTTGGCCTAAACTATAGATAGGCATACAACGTGAAGTCAGAAGGCTGCTTTTCTCTAGGCTGCTGAAATGCTCCTGGTGATTGCTGTTTGCATTTGGACCCACTGCAGTGCATTCACAACTGTGTGATTGTTTGTGCAACAGGATGTAGCTGCCTCACAATAAGCCATTCTTTGGAATTTTACAAAGATGCCATTCTTGGCACCTAAACTGGGAATCATTTGTGCCTAACCCATCATTTTCCATTTATGAATCTAGTTTAATTAGAAAGTAGTTTGTGAACAGTGTCCCATTTTTCAAGTGTAATTTGAAATAGCAGATGGCAGACGTGCCTATTACCTGCATGCCCAAGCCTTTATGCTAACTCATTCACACTCATTGCTTTAGCAGAGCCAACTATAGAAGGTGTGGGAGGCAGGCAAGCCGCCTGGGGAACCCAGGCTACGTTTGGTTCATTGCTGCCACCTGCTGGGGCCTGTTCACTGGAAGGCTGTCCAGCAGACAGAGCGGCTAAGCCTTCCAAGGACCTCACAGAGGCTCTAGGTTTTCCACCCGGGTGGTGGTGGGGCGTGCCTTTAATCCCAGCACTCAGGAGGCAGAAACAAACAGATCTGTGTGAGTTCGAGGCCAGCCTAATCTACAGAGCTAGTTCCAGGACAGCCAGGGCTATACAGAGAAACCCTGTCTCAAAATTTTTTTTTTTTTTTGTTAGGCAGCTTGTCTGTGGCTGAGTGGATGTGCTGCGTTACTCCAGATCAGCATAGGTAGGAATTTGACTGTTTGGTAACATACAGTGTCCTACTCTAGTAAGGTTCAGAGAATGAAGGCTTTCAAAGATCCTGGAGTGTCAGAGCTTCAACAGCCTCAAAGCAGACATGATGGAACTTGAGAATAGTTGAAGGAATCAGCTAGGGACTTGGACAGAAGAAGGAAGATCACAGATTTCAGGTCAGGCTGGATGGCTTAATGAGACCATGTCTCAAAAACAGGGCCAACTCTGGGTCTGGTAGCACTCTAGGGGCAGAGCCTGGGAGATCTCTACCAGCTTAGGGCCAACATAGTCTACGTAGAGAGTTGCAAGCCAGCCAAGGTTATATAAACAGACCCTGTTTGTAAAGGAAGAGGCCCATAGTGGATTTCTGAGTTCAAAGCCAGCTGGTCTACATAAGAGAGTTCCTAGCTAGCCAGGGCTGCATAGTAAAACCCTGTCTACACACACACACACACACACACACACACACACACACACACACAGTTGCTAAAGATCCACACTCAGTAAGGTTTATGTAGTTTTGCATGTGGTGCAGATGTTATCCTGGCAATAGATCCTCAACCATTAGTACCTCTCGTTTCATGCAGTGAGAACAGGCATCTTAATAACATTGTGTTCTTTGACACACATGTTCAGAAGTTAGGTTGGTTGGGTTTTCTGTGGCAGGACATACCACTTCTGAATAACTAGCTTTCCTTTCTCTGCTGGGGGCTACTGTTATTTGTGGTCAGTATATTGTGGGTGCTTTAGTGGGTTCTGGCAAACAAAGGCAGAGTTTTGTAGTACACTTTTAGCATAGTCATAATTTCTATGACTCCAGTAATCATTTGCTAAGCAGGTTTTCAGGAACGTAAAATAACATAAGCCAAGCACAAGAAGCCTGTGCCCTCACAGTCGGCACGTCTCATTATTAGTTCTTAGTCCTCTCCCCGCTTTGGCAGGCTCAGGCAACACAAAGATTGTACCTTTCCCTATTCCACAGGAAAGGAGTATTCTGAAACTCAGATTTGAAGATCTGTCTTAGGTCCTGTCTTTAAAAGAAAACCCATCTTAGAAGTGGGAATTCTAGATACTTGTCGTGTGCTTTTGCTGCTTGACTGTCACTTCCCATGAATGCTCCTGAAACAGCTGGTTGCGGTCTGTGGTCTGGGTCTGTTAAGTCATCAGAGTCAGGAGCAGATTGCTGTCCAAATAATTCAGTAAACATTGACCAGCCGTTACTAAAAGTGTTTCTCTTTAAACCACTGTTTTTATTCAGGACTTCCAGGCCTTTGATGTGCACAGTTGTGTGTTTAGCAAGGTGTGCGTTGTAGAAAAAAAAAGAAAAAACGGTTTGTTGAACCTCCTCATAGAAACCCCACTTGACTTTTAAGAGTACTTTTTTGTTACTTCTGAGTATTCAGTGTATTTCATTTTAAATGTTATTTCCTGTCTTGATAATCTCATCTGTGGAGCTGTTTTGTTTTATTTTTAGGGATACCTGAAAGAAATCTTGAAAGAAATCGGCATTCAGAATGTAAAAGGGATTCACAAGAATACATGGGAGCTGAAGCCAGAGTACAGGCATTACCAAGTAGAAGAGAAGAGTGACTGAGAGAAGCCTGTGCTACAACAGTTAGCAGCAGCTCACAGCTCATGCTGAGCGCCTGCTGACCGGGCAGACACAACCGACTGCTTCTGCCTTCCTCTCAGTAAACCGTTAAAGCTGGCATTCCATGCAGTTTCCTAAGTGTTTTTTTGAAGAGAAAGATGTTATTTATAGACTAAACTTGTGTTAAACCATAGCGTTCAGCTGGACCTGCTAGCGTATGCGTGCGTCCAGCACTCGGGAGGCCGAGGCAGGAAGGTGTGAATGAGTTTGAGGCCAGCCTGCAATACACAGCAAGACCCTCCCCGTAAAAGAAAAATAAGTTCATGGTATGGGTAGGGTCTGGGAATTAAAACTGCTTTTGTCTCAACTTTTCAAGTGTAAATGGGATATTTTCTAAATGAAAATTGTATCTCTGAGGAACTAAGGTAAAATCCAAAGGGAAGGGAGAAAGCTGGGAGGGAGGGTCATCAGCTACAGAAACTATTAAAGGAACACTGGGTTGAAGTTCCATTTTCTGAAACTGAAGAGGGAAGTTATGTTATCCCTTTCTTCAGAGATAATGTGTCAGCTCAAACGTGCAATGATAAAGGGACCCATGTGCTCTGTACTAAATGGCAGCTTTCATCACTGGCTTATTTTACCCGATACTAGTAACAGAAAGGGACAAAATTGTGGAGAGTTCGTCTTCATTTTGTTTGCTTTTAAAATAAGAAATTGGGGCTGGAGAGCGGGCTTGGAGGTTATGGCACAAACTGCTTTTGCAGTGGATGACTTTGGTTCCCAGCATCTAAGTCAGTTGGCTCTCAGCTGTCTCTAACTCCAACTTGAAGGGATCCATGCTCTCTTCTGGTCTCCATGGGCACCTACACATACATGTTTGCACATTCACACAGACACATAAATAAAAAAAATTTTAGTGGGGGGGCACACTTTCTATTATTTATTATTTATATAGCATTCTGTCTGCATGTGTGCCTGTAGGCCAGAAGAGGGCACCAGATCTCATTATAGGTGGTTATGAGCTACCATATGGTTGCTGGGAATTGAACTCAGGACCTTTGGAAGAACAGCCAGTTCTCTTAACCTCTGAGCCATCTCTCCAACCCAAAAAATAAAATTAAAAAGAGAATCTCCTATAATAATAATTGAAAATTAAATACCTTTCAGTTTCAGAATATATCTCTCTAACCAAATATAAGGTCCTTGGAGACTGGCTTTGGCCTGAGAATTTTGCTTCCTACCCTTCGGCCAAGGGTTAACCCTTTGCTGTCAGATTCCATTGCCGGCTAAATCATGGCTGTCAGGGTGGTGCAGCTGAGATAGAAAAGGCTGGCACAGTTTCCTAGAGCATGAAAACACCTTCCTCTCCTCGTCTTTAGTTGACTGGGTGGAAGTGGGACATGTACACAGGAGTTTCCTCAAGACAAAATGTCATGTATTACAGTAGTCCAGTGTCATACCTGTAAAGCAAAAGACGCTTCAACGAAGCGAGCACAGTGAAATGTTGCTTAGAGCACATTTCATCCTTTGCCTCTGTATGCCTGCAGCCGAGCAGTTCAAATGCTGAAAATGTTGGACAATTAAAGCAAGGAAATCGTTTTTTATTAAGAGCAAGGATCCTACCACTTTTTTCTCTTTTAGTGGCAAATCCCAAAATTCTGAGGTTGAGTGCCACTGTTCTAAGAATGTTGTCTTTATCCTCCATGTAAGATACAAGTCTGCCTATGGAAGGTGGCCTTAGTCCCCACCCACCTCAGCTGTCCTTTCCTGCCTCCTTCTGGTACAGGACCTGAATGTGGTTCACCCTTGTCTCTGCTTTTTTTTAAATCTTTTATTATTTGACCATTTAGTAATTTACTTATGGATTATATCTACTCCAGCCTTTACTCCCCTCTACTTCTTGATTACTGAAAGCCTCATATCCAGAAGCCCACAGTGATGGCGTGCTAGCTGCAGAGCTGAGTGCACTAGGTACCTGCCTTGTGCTTGGTAGATTATACAGTATGTACCTTCCCACAGGACTTGCTGCTTTTGTTCTACGGGACTTCCTGAAACACAAGGATGCCTCCTCTGCTCAGAGTTTTTGCTCTGTAGGTGTTGGTAGTTATGATCTCATCAATAGAACACTTAGTTGGAAGTTACTCCAGACTGGTCTCTTGACATTGTCTTACCTCTGGTTGCCATTTCTCTGATTCAGCCATGACCTGTTCTCTACTTTGCCATTCATGTAATTAGTGAGACTCTCAGAAGCCTGAGTTGATGAGTTGACGTCCTGTGAATATCCTGGAACACCTGGGACTTCCCAGAGACAGCACAGCCTTTGGAAGGGAACACAGAGTCTGGATCACAGCAGTCAGGGAAGGGAAGACCAGAGGCTGCCTTTTAGCACTGTTGAGCACACTCCTAAGGAGCCTTTGTTAACTGGATGGAAAGAGGAAAGGTGGGTTCAAGAGATAGATGATAGAACAGCATCAACCTACCTTTAAGATGGTCTGCTGCCCACCCAGACATCCTCTAGCCCACAAGTGACACCCAAGACACAGCTGCAACATTAGTGCACGCTCATGTCCGTGTTCAAAGGCATCTGTGAGATGTGAACCTTCAAAGAGACAGCACTGTGGCATGAACTTGAAAAGTAAATGCCTCTCTTTCCATGACGATGAAGGGGGGACTTTGTCAGTGGTGTGTGTTTGACCAGTGTGTTCTTCACATAAAAGATTTGCAGCAAAACTGAAGAACTCTAAGAACCAATGACAAAAACTACATGGTTTTAAACGGGCAATAAGTGTAAACATACATTTCTTAGAGAGTTGGCTCAGTAGCACATGAAAAGCTGCCCAACAGTCAGTGGTTCTTAGAGAAACAAAATTAAGACCACAAAAACATGCTACATGTCTGCTGGGTTAGGTAAAACCTTTCTAGGGAAATTTGACCGTATCTGGTGCAGTAAGCAAGGAGAGCAACCAGAATTCCCAGGCACTGTCCATAGTCCTGCAGAAAGATGCCTCATCAAAAGATGAAGCTTCTTACAGAGTTAAACTTGCTACTAGGAGATGAAGATACGTGTTTTAAAAACCTATAGTTTTTCGAGGCATGGTGATGTACACCTTTAATCCCAGCACTCAGAAGGCAGAGGCAGGCCGATCGCTTGGTTTTCAGGACAGACAGGGCTACACAGAGAAACCCTGACTTGAAAAACCAACCAACCAAACAACAGTCATTATCATCATCTACGTAGGTTTAATCTCAATCACCTGGAAACCCCCCAGATGTGTGCCAGACAGATCATGCTGCTGTAGTCACGAAGTAGGGCTCTTCCCACAGTGAAGATGAAGGACCGATACAGTTGTCTGGATCTCAAATACAGTTGATGTGACCACCTACTGTGCGCTTCCATCTAGCATCTTCAAGAGCAGAACAAGGGGGGGAGACGTAGGCCAGTCTTAGTGTGTGTATGCTCAACTACTGAAAAACAAGGGAGCTTTGGGTAATGAAGGTGTTGAGTGCGTCTGTGATAGGATATCTGAAAATTTGTTCCACGTGTTTAAAAGGTGCTTTACTGCACAGAAATCAGGTATGGTGACATAAGCCTGTAATCCCCCTGCTAGCGTAAACTAAGGCAGGAGGACTGCACTTCCAGACCGGGCCATGGAGCAAGAGCCTGCCCATAGGTAATTTTAAAGGGAGGGAAGAGCATGTGTTGAGCCTACTTTATTTGTGTGTGAAAGAGAGACTGACTGGGGAGTTAGCGTCAGACCTGAGCACACTGCTCATGCCCTCCGCAGAGCAGCCGGTAGCCCAGACAAGGCCTAGAACCCGCTCTTACCTGAGTAGTCAGGGTTGTAGAGCTGTGCTACCAGGCCCCGGACTACCTGACTTGTTAGAAGATTCCATAGAGAGGACTGGAACAGTGTCCACCAACAGGGACGGTCAGGGAGTGTGTGTCATGGAAGGTGTACAGCAGTTGGAAGAATATGGTGTGTTGTGAACTGACAGGATCTCCTACGATTACATAGAGCAACGCTGTTTCAGAGCAATGTCACGGGCTGGAGCATGACTCAAAGGCTAAGAGCACTTGTTCCTGCAGAGGACCCAGGTTTGGATTCATAACTAGCCGCAACTCCAACTCCCGAGCAGCTGGTGCCGTGCCTTCCGGTGACCAGACTCACACGGAACACATACATAGGCGGGCAAAAAGGCAAAACACTCATACACATGAATCAGTAAATACGAAAACTTAACAAATGATAATTGTGGGGGATTGAAATGCTGCATGGTGTGAACGGGATAAACTTCAAAACACGTTCTCCGAGATTGCTGGTTACAGGAATAAAAATAAAACTAGCTAGTTCCATATGCCAGGGGAAACATGCCTGACTTACTGTGCTGCCTTTGGGGAGACAAGAACACAGGGCAAGACAGGGTGTTTCTCACTGAGTCTGTCCATTGAAACTATGCATTGTGTGTACTGGCGTGTCTCCAAGCTCAAAGGGAGCGTGTGACTCTTAACAGTTACCTAGCTCAAGGCTATTCCAAGAAACACATGGTGTCCCATTACTTCTCACCTGGGCTCTACAGTTAGCACATGCCTCAGACCCTGCCATCGAGCAAGAATGTCCTCCAGGGGACTAAAGGTGAAGAGGATAGCCATGTTCACTGGACATTTAGTGAGTTTCACACACGGGTCCTGAGCTCCACACAAACCTGCCAGCGGAGTCTCTGGTGTCACTACTCTGAACGGATTGCCTGTTGCCTTGGTATATTTTCCTAGGGCTAATATTCTGCCCTTTCAAAGGGAAGACTGTGCCTGGCCTTAGCATTAGGCCAGGAAGAAGAGCTACAAAAGGCCAACTGTGGCGTGAACGTCTGTCAGTGATGGGAGAAACCCAGCTCTACCTTGATTTGTCAAACGTTTGAGAAAAATGATCCCAAGTGAGCCACTGTAGTAAGAGAGACTCAGAACTCTGAGCCCCTGAAGTAGGATAAGAGAGGGGCTGACAACACTGAGCTGCTGGAGTGTGGGATAAGGGAAAGAGATGGTTTCCAACCAACAGATAGTCAAGCAGTGTCTTGCCAGGCCCGGTGACATGTGCCTTCAATCACAGCGCCCAGGAGGCAGAAAAAGGTGTAGCCCTTGAGTTGGTTGCCAGCCTGGCCTACTTAGCAAATTTCAGGCTAGCCAGAGTTGCATGATGGGAGCTTGTCTCAGAAGGGATGGGGGTGGGCCAGGCATGGACAGCAGTGGGTCTCAGTCATGGAGCTGAAAGGCCTGAACTCAAGTCAAAGCTTTGACTATTGCTGGCCCATGCAGTCCCCACTCCTGCTTCTGGCCTGTGGAACCTAGCAGGGTGAGACTGATTCATCCCT